AAAAACTTCTGAAGGGGCATAAAAGTCCCCTAAAAATGCTTCATTTTCCAGGGCAGTTGGGTTACAGAAATTGGGACTATATCAGGATTACTGGGAGCTTCTCACAAATTTGAGACTAACAGAGATTTTATCCATAGAAGGCTTGGAGGAATTGGAGATACAGCAATGTCCATTCAACACAGTAAGAACCTAGATAGATAAGAGGATAATCTAAAATATTTGGAGCACTATTTTTTTAAAGGTGAACTGCTGGCATAGTCTCCCATCAGGATTGGGTATTGAAATTTCCACATTTAGGGTAACAGCAGCGTCTGTTTTGGAAGCAATCAGTTTTATTCCAGATAGGCTACAGATTTTAATGGCAGTTGGGGAGGAAGGACAGTAATTATCACTTGCTTCAGATCTGGAAGGAAGGACAATAATTACTTGCTTCACTTTTCAGGAACACAATGAAATTTTGCAATGAACAAAGCTGAACAAACAACTTGTAAGTGGCAGAATGAAATGTGCATCTCTCTCTTTCCAGATAATTGCACACCAGCTGTGTATTTACAAGATGCCAGTCGCTATGGAATTGGGGCTACCAAACTACCAGAAAGGATTACATGCTTGAGTTTCTCAATCTCCTGACCAAGTACAAGAGCTGAGATTTTAACATCAAAATTGGATGTTATGAGAATACAGTAAAGCTGATAAGATTCAGCTTCTAATAGGTTAAAATACTAGCAATCAAAACAACAATTGATGCCTGCAGTTGGAATTTGTAGTCAAAGATTTTTTTTGTTTGTTTAACTTATACCTTAACTCTAATTAACTGGTTTTGTGTGCTGTATTTTTTTTTTAATCTTATGCAGGATATAACATCTGAACGCAAACTAGCAGAAAACAGTGGCTCTTATTATGCATATCTCACAGTTCTAGGGCTAGCTGCACATCTGTCCCGCTTTTGTATCATCTGAAGGGATGCGCTGAGGCAGGGCTCTTGCCCTTACCTGTCTTGGGGTGGAATCTCACAATTCTTCAACTCTTAGCATGGGACCTGAGTATGCTACTCCTTGTGTGTGTGTATATACACCAGCCACTTAGCAGCCTGCAGGCCAGACTGGGTTTGAGCATCTGCACTTCTTTCCTTCAGAAACCTGTGACCGGTGATAAAGTGACGAACAGCCTTCTTAAAACAAAGCATTTTTATTTAGTAGTTTGGAGTAAAGTGTTAGAGGATTTCAAAGCAACAGCATGCATGTATATTTAGTCTCATCTAATCTTACACTTCAGTACAAGCTAAATTGGATGAAGAAAAGGAGTACTTGTGGCACCTTAGAGACTAATAAATTTCTTTGAGCATTTTCTACTGCATGCATCCGATGAAGTGAGCTGTAGCTCACGAAAGCTTATGCTCAAAGAAATTTGTTAGTCTCTAAGATGCCACAAGTCCTCCTTTTTCTTTTTGTGGATACAGACTAACATGGCTGCTACTCTGTAAACTGGATGAGCTTTCCTCTCAAATTACAGCGACAGACCTGAACCAACTCCTAGTGTCTGAGGTAGGATTGCCATCTCTGAGACGCAGAAGAACCAGCCCCAGGCCACTCGCCCCGCCAACAAAAAGGGTGCTAGTGCCGACTACCGCTAATTGTGACTAAAATGTTTGAGAACCATTTTACACAAAAAAAGCCCTACAATATGTGTATGTTTGTTTCCATTTTTCTTAGCTTAGCCTAAGACAGTGTCGCAGTCTGAATTATGGAGGTGTGCTGTAACGTGTCTCCTCCCAAGTAGGCAAGCGTTCCCTGGGACCAGGAAGGGCCCAGCTGCTTTCAGACACTCCAGCCAGTCCTGTCTCTCTTCCATCCCAGCCTGGTCTCCTCAGGAAGAGCACACCCCACTCACACACACTTGCCCATGCTGAAATAGGCCAGACCTCTAGAAAACCCTGACATCGTGCACCCTGCTTTTACGTCCAATATAGGTATCCATGATAAATATGCCATGGTATTCTACAAGGACCTGCATAACCCTGGAATAGTATCCTTTCCTGTGAATGTGCTTGCTTGAAATGGCTGGCATAGAATGGGTACGTGTGTGCCATTGATCACACCTGCATAGCTCAGGAGCCCCATCCATTCAAACCCCACAATTATTTCAGAAATTTGTCCAATTTTTAGAACCTTGGAAGACAGCACAGCATTAATTGCTTTGCAAACCTCCATGGCCACTGTGCTAATCATGGATTTGCCTACCATAAACTGATTACCAACAGGAGTTGCGAGCTTCCATAGTGCTATGCAACATGCTTCTGGAGTGGATATGAGCCCTTTCCTCAGGTGTTCTGCTACTCAAGACCTAAGATAAATTCCTCCCACAGCTCCAGGTGGACCCTGGCTTTCCACACAAGTTCTGGACCCACTGTTTATCATCCCATGTTTCCAGCACAACATGGTTCCACCAGTGTGTGCTCGTGGTCCTTGGTTCAGAAGCAGTGGTCTGCATGGGAAAGATCTGCCACGGAAAAACATCATCAGCTAGGTCCATGCCTCCATCTCCCCATGGTCCCCTTCTGTTTGTTTGTAATCCCCTGCCTCTATCTTCTTTGCTTATCACCTTCAAATACAGTGCTGCAGTGGGTGAGGCTACTGCGTATATTGACTAACCTGCAATTGCTTAACCAATGGTTAGCATGCAGTGATGACCTAGGTGTGTAGGCTCTGCCACCCAGTCAGCCCCTCTAGTGTGATATATCCATTCTGTTACATAGAACAGAACAGGCCTTGGCAGTCTTCATTATAAAAAAGTACTCCATTTTTGGCACAGCATACATGTGTTTCTTCAAGAAGTCCTGCTTTAAAGTGTGCAAATGTGAACAGTTATTTCACTCCCTAGTTCAGAGTTCTTTTAACATAAAATTAAAATTTACAGTTTTTCTAATAGCAATTGAATTATTAAAAGAGAAGGAATGTTCATCAAAATTTATTCTTTCCTTTCAGAAATAAGAGTTGAGTTTATGATCCCTCATAACAAAGCATTTTGTTTTTGTTGATCCTAGCCAAAAGCAGAAGGAAGGGTGTCAGCATTCACATTATGTGACAGATGATTGGCCAAAGTTGTTCAGGAACTTGAACACTTTTGTGGCAGTAGATTGGTGCTGTGTTGTGAAAGATGCTTTACACAATTTGTTTGTGCAGGAGCTGGTGGTAATAGGCTGACATTAAGCTATTTTTCTGTCTGATAAATGCTAAGATTCAGGGAGCAGCCAGTTGCCGAAGGAGTTGGGTTTGACAGGGAACCCTTCAGCAAAATCTGGGTAATCTTGATAATTGTGTTTAGTTACAGCACAAAATTAAGGTTTTTTGTGTCCCATGCTTAATGTTCTTGGTTTGCTGCTGTTTTTATAACTGCTGTTTTTGCATAATTGCTCATTTTTGATGTGTTGGGAACAGAATAGTGTTTCTTTGCTGCCAGTCTGAACATAGGGCAAGCATTTTGCCCCATTGAAATACCTGACTGGAGGCTGCTAATTGATGATTTTAGTTTTTGGAATTAATTTTTGTATTTTGATTTTCAGATATATTTTTCCTTTTGCATTTTTGTGGTTTTTCATCTTTGCCTTCTGCTTTGTTGTTTTATGCTTTTGCTTATCTATTTTGTCAAAGTTAATTGTTGGTGATGACATATGCATGTGAAAAGATTACATGCTTGTGTCTTCAATCTTCTTTCCCAAGTTCAAAAATTGAAATTTTCAATAGCAAGTCTTATAACGTGTGTGTTACACTTTGACTATTGATAATATTGATGAAGCTCACCCTTTGCCCATAAAATGGACAAGTAATTTCCTAGTGAGACAGGTTTTAGAATCATAGAATCATAGAATATAAGGGTTGGAAGGGACCCCAGAAGGTCATCTAGTCCAACCCCCTGCTCGAAGCAGGACCAATTCCCAGTTAAATCATCCCAGCCAGGGCTTTGTCAAGCCTGACCTTAAAAACCTCTAAGGAAGGAGATTCTACCACCTCCCTAGGTAACGCATTCCAGTGTTTCACCACCCTCTTAGTGAAAAAGTTTTTCCTAATATCCAATCTAAACCTCCCCCACTGCAGCTTGAGACCATTACTCCTCGTTCTGTCATCTGCTACCATTGAGAACAGTCTAAAGCCATCCTCTTTGGAACCCCCTTTCAGGTAGTTGAAAGCAGCTATCAAATCCCCCCTCATTCTTCTCTTCTGCAGGCTAAACAATCCCAGCTCCCTCAGCCTCTCCTCATAACTCATGTGTTCCAGACCCCTAATCATTTTTGTTGCCCTTCGCTGGACTCTCTCCAATTTATCCACATCCTTCTTGAAGTGTGGGGCCCAAAACTGGACACAGTACTCCAGATGAGGCCTCACCAATGTCGAATAGAGGGGAACGATCACGTCCCTCGATCTGCTCGCTATGCCCCTACTTATACATCCCAAAATGCCATTTATATGATCCAAGTTCTTACATAGTACAGGATCTCTACCATTCTTAACAACTGTCCCCACCAAGTCTCCCTCCCTCCTCCCAAAACCCCATAAACAAACCAACCAACAAAAAATCTAGCATATAGCTTGGGTTTAGTTTACATTTTTTTTTTCTAGCCTTCTGAATGTGGCCAGCATGTTACCTTATGTATACATAGGAGTCAGCACTCTGGTCCTAAAAGTATATTTGTATAGATCAGGGATCGGCAACCTTTGGCACGTGGCCCACCAGAGTAAGCCCCCTGGTGGGCCGGGCCGGTTTGTTTACCTGTCGCGTCCGCAGGTTTATCCAGTCGTGGCTCCCACTGGTTGCGGTTTGTCATTCCAGGCCAATGGGGGCTGCGGGAAGCAGCAGCCAGCACATCCCTCGGCCCACGCCACTTCCCACAGCCACCATTGGCCTGGAGCGGCAAACTGCGACCAGTGGAAGCCGCGATCGGCCAAACCTGAGGACGCGGCAGGTAAACAAACCGGCCTGGCCCACCAGGGGGCTTACCCTGGTGGGCTGTGTGCCAAAGGTTGCCGATCCCTGGCATAGACTAAGAATGATATATTTGAAATCCTAATGCTCCAGGCTAGTTTAATCCAGGTTTTTGTCTCTTGTCTGTTTAATCCCTGTCACTTTTTTCAATTGAGTATGTTTGTTTTTTTTAAAAATTGACTGTTAGCTCTTTAGAAGTCTTTATCCCAGCAGAGGGCACTGGAGTCAGTCAGATGAGGCTACTGGTTGGATAATGTGACACTTTGTTGTGCTTATTTGTTATCTCCATGTTCGCTATGCACACACGACTAGGGTTTATATTTCTTAAAATACAGTTTTAATACTGGATTAGAAGTACAGTAGGAAATGTTTCTATTGCTAACCATAGCTGTCAGCAGTAAGTCCTCCTGAAAGGATGTTGAAAATGGTTTAATTTTTCTGCATTATTTTCAACTCAGAACCTGTATGAAGGCATCTGGACTTACAGATGGAGAGATACAAATTATAGTACCCCAATATACATATCTTTAAGTCTCTCTAAAATAGCTTTTTGGTAACATGCAACAGTGGTTTTCAACCTTTTTCATTTATGAATCCCTAAAAAATTTGGAATGGAGGTGTAAACCCCTTTGGAAATCATAGACATAATCCATGGACTATGGTTAAAACCACTGTTCTATGATAACAACAACCATTTGTGGATCCCTTAGATGTAGTCTGAGGACCCCAGGTTGAAAACCATTGATATAGCATATATGGACTAACCTGATGGTGTCAGATGGTATAACCATTTTTATCAGCATTTGTTTGGGATGACTTATGACCCATATGGCCATCCCAAACTCAGGTCAATAAAACCTTGATGTCATGCCACACCCAATTTGGTTGAACAATTAGGACCTGAAGTACAGAATTTGACCAGTACTATAAATCATTGTACCCATTGTAGGCCTGGCTTGACATAAGAAACTAGCCTCATTTCTTAGTGGACATGATTGAGAAGGTGAATGGAAGATTAAGTTGTAAATAGGGGCTTTGCAAGCAGTATGCTGGAGTCAGGATGTCTGTGCTAGTTAAGATAAGCAGCAACACCCAGATGTTAGGGACAATGGACAAGATAAACCTGGAATGTAAAGATCAGGTTCCATATGGACAGAGCATGCTGTACAAGGATTGGTTCCTGCAAAGTAACCAATCCGATCTGAAAGTGTGTAATGTATACAAAGAAAACTGTATTCTGTGTAACTCTGGATGTGTGGTATGCCCTATATCCACCCCCTACACTTGAATCTGATCAAACCAGCATAGCTTTGCTGTATGCCAAATAAAGGAACCTGAGTGATGAAATCTGGAGTCAAATTGAGTATTTTGAATCCCAGAGAACTGGCTGAAGTGTTCTCCCTGGATAAGCCAAGTGGTAAAGGTCTCAGAGAGAATCCCAACACCCATCTTTGTGGTTTACCCTTATAATTGATGAGAGCTGGTGAAACTGTTCTTGACAGGCATTGTGAATTTAGCCCCTTTTTTGGTTTAGTGAATCATTTTCAAACTAATTTTGATTTTCTCTGAATGTAGTTGTTGTTTATAAGTATTTATTGAACTGTGTGGACAAATAACTTTCAGCCTATGGGGTTGATTGTAGACTGCGGTTGACTTATTTGCACTGTCTGGTTTGTAAGTTAAGTCATGTAATATTGTTTCTCTTCCTTCACTACAAGTCTGAAATTTTTTAAATAGGAAAATGTCAAATATTAAATAGCACCAATCTGTAAATATTTCTGTCAAATAATCATTAATGATAAGAAAAAAAATGAAACTACAGCCATTCAGAAACATTTTCATGAGTATTTGATGGGTTGTGTGAGTGTGAATATCTGGATTAATCCCACCCTGTGTGAACGTGAACACACTATTAAGACTTTTATGTTTCTTGCTCTTTCTGTTAGCTGCAATCATGACAGCAAATTTCTGTCCAGAGGGGCTTTAAGCTTGCTAGAGTTTCACCCAAATGCGGCAAACTAGGGACTTTAAAAACCTCAGGAGTTCAGGATGTAATAACAACAGTGTGGTTCACGGTTGGGAATAGGGTTGTACTTGACTTTAATTTTGTGATGGGGCACGTGAAAAATTAAAGGCCAAAATTAGCTGTGGAGTAAGCAGGTAAAGCTCCAGTGAAGACAGTAGAACCTACTGACAGTAGGGCTGAATTTGGCCCTGAATCTTGGTATTGCAAGATCAGGTAGACAGCAAGCATGTCAGAACTGGGTTCTGAGACCAGACGGTCATTTCTAAGTACAGGAATTCTGAAAACCCGACAAACTAATAAATCTACAGCCTAATAAACTTTCACAGGAACACTCTTTTTATGGAGCATTTCACAATTAAATTCAAAGCAAGCCCTGTATCTTTGGCATCATACCAATGTACCTAACAATCCCCCCGAAGAAGTGCTCTGTGTAAGCTTGTCTTTCTCCACAGAGAAGTTGGTCCAATAAAAGATATTGCCTCACCCACCTTGTCTCTCTAATATCCCTGAACCAACATAGCTACTACAACACTGCATATAATAATCCCACATTTTGTTAAATGAGAGAAACTTTGTAGGGCCAGCCTTATTTAAACTGAGGCAACTTTGCCTATAGAATCATAGAAGATTAGGGTTGGAAGAGACCTCAGGAGGTCATCTAGTCCAACCCCCTGCTCAAAGCAGGACCAACCCCAACTATTCATCACAGCCAGGGCTTTGTCAAGCTGGGCCTTAAAAACCTCTAAGGATGGAGATTCCACCACCTCCCTAGGTAACCCCTTCCAGTGCTTCACCACCCTCTTAGTGAAATAGTTTTTTCTAATAGCCAACCTAGACCTCCCCCACTGCAACTTGAGACCATTGCTCCTTGTTCTGTCATCTGCCACCACTGAGATCAGCTGAGCTCCATCCTCTTTGGAACCCCCCTTCAGGTAGTTGAAGGCTGCTATCAAATCCCCCCTCATTCTTCTCTTCTGCAGACTAAATAAGCCCTGTTCCCTCAGTCTCTCCTCATAAGTCATGTGCCCCAGCCCCCTTATCATTTTTGTTGCCCTCCACTGGACACTCTCCAATGTATCCACATCCTTTCTGTAGTGGGGGACCCAAAACTGGACACAATTCTCCAGGTGTGGCCTCACCTGAGCTGAAGAGAGGGGAATAATCACTTCCCTCGATCTGCTGGCAATGCTCCTACTAATGCAGACCACGCCTTCATGTTCCTCTATTCTCCCTTTCTGTAACTGTTTCTTCTCCATCTCTTGGTTAGTATCTTCAGTTTTCTGTTCCTTCCTTTGTCTCAACACTTCTGTTTAGTAACCTCTTTCCTCCCACCTGCTCCTGCCATCCGTCCTGTCTTACTCTATCACGCATGTAAGGTGGATTAGAAAATTAGCTGAAAAAGTAATTCAATTCTTGAGTGCAAGAGGGAGAGGATGCCAGATGGGGTTAGTGTTGCGCTGTGCTTCATCACTGCATATCAGCAACACTTTTCTCTTTCTCTCACCTGTCCTACAAGACTTCTCTGGTTTGTGCTGGAGCTAGGAATGCAGAAATGCCAGCTGAATTGACCATGATGTCACATCAATAATATAATTTTTTGGTGAGGTGAGGTGTTAAACATCTCATCAGTGCTGTACTCCAGTTTGGGATTCTGCTATTTCTGATTTCAACAGCACATTGCCAAAAAGTCCTGGATATATAAATATAAATCAGTAAATTGAAGGTGGCAGAGAATTTTCTTTTCCAACACAGAAAAGAAAACCATGTACAATCAGGCATGGATAGAACTCGGGAAGTTGAATGGTGTGAGTGATTTAGAAAGTCTCTCTACTGGTTTCATGTGGCTAGTAGGAAAGTAGTCAAAGAAGCTAATAGACTGGAGAACATGAAAGCATCAGCAAGTATATTTCCCCTCCTCCCATGCAACAATATGCAAATATTTAGCGTGTAAATGGAAACAAAATAAAATCCCACTTACTCCTTGGCAAACCTACCTCTTTGTGTTGTTCAAAGGCAGACGTTCTGGACATGAGTATTTTACTAACATACCTTTCATAGCACAGTAACATTTTGGTGCAGAGTCTGCTGTTGATCCACATTTTGGGTGATACAAGTAACCCTTACTTCTCTTGAGTCTCATTCACACCTCTCTTTGCTCTATAGACTGCAGGTCAGTCTAGAGCACTTCATGAGTATTCTTGAAAAGAAACAGGAAACGGTGCCAAATCATTTCTTCATCCCGTTGTACTTCTGCTATCAGATCACTTCTTCTGTGGCAGAACCTGCAGCGGGAGGGTCTAGCAGTGAAGGAAAGTTCAGTGAGTTAATAGTTGTAGTCTTATTAAAGTTATATTGTCTATTAGAAATAACCATGTATCATGGTTTCCATACCAGTGGATCTACTATTGTCATTTGTTTCTCTCAACAGTATCTTTGAGTGTAAATTTAGTAAATACATACACAAACTAAACACACATTTTACCACCCTATATTATCATATGGATACAGGGCAATTGAAATTACATGTATGCTGATTTTTAAAAATAAATAATCTAAAAATACATTCCAAGTGTGATGGGTTTAGCATACCCATTGACTTGACTGTGCACTGTTGCTCTTGGTAGTCAGTGTACAAAGGGTAAAATACTTATTGCTATTTTCAGCTAATGGAGCTACTCATTTTAGCTCAAGTAACGAGGATTTTTGTTTCTGAAACCAGAAGTCCTACGTTCTATTCCTAATGCTGCCACCTTTTAGATGGTAACTGTTGGCACAGTTCAGGGCAACTGCACCTGTATTCCCCCTCTGTGGTCCGTCAAAGGCACCCACTCCAGGCTCCCAGCTCTTCAGCTGTCACATCTCTCTCCCTTTTTATTGGGGTTTTTCGAGCAGTCACCTCCCCCTGACGTTTCCTACCCTGCTGCCATTCATCCAGTTTAGTAGAATTTTTTCACTTTTGTTTTAATGCATTTGTTTGTTTATGTTGCTATATTCTGAACAGAGACTTACTTGCATTGATTTCAGGTAGGGTTGGGCAAGAATTCAACAACAGGAAAAGCCATATCAGGAGGAGCAGCTGCTCTGCCCTGAAGGTTTTTTCACTCGTGATCTAAATCTATAGTCACATGTGAGTGTATTTATTTCCAACCGACCTGAGAAAATCAAAGAATTCCTTTACCTGAGAAATAGTTTCTTTTGAAATAAGCAATAAAGTAATTACTGCCTTGGAATCCAAAATCTTCCTGATCCAAGTTTCATTCAAGAGGGATTCTTTGAAAGAGAAGGAAGTTACATGAAGATAATCCTTCAGCTGACATTTAGAGAACATTGCCAAGTGGGATACTACAGAGGTCAGTATTGGCACTTATGCCTGTTTATTAACAGTATAAATTCCAACAATTTGTTGTTGACTCTGAAAGGGGGGAGAATGGCAAATACAAAGGAGGACAGAGTCAAACTGCAAAATGCTGTTTACATCCAAAAAGAGGAGATGCTAGTAGTAATAGATGTAAAGTTGGATACCTAAAGGGAGGAAGTGGGGCAGTTAAGAGGAAAGGAGTGAACTAGAGAGAGAATTTCTAAATATTTGTAATACCATATTGACAAACCCAATGTTGTTCTCTGGTGCATGTAATATGTAAATAAAATGTGTGTGTGTATTTATAATAGTGTATGAATCTCATGCAGAGAAGTAATATGCCTTAGTATATGAATTCAGTGTCTTAACTATCACATTCAGTTTAGGAAAACTAGAAGTAAAAGAACCCAATAACAATTGCATAAGGATTTGGAGGGTAAGATATCGGGAACGACAAAACGATCTGTATGTGTGTGTAAACTTGGTGTTGGGGGCTGGGAAATACTAACAGGGAACCCACAGGTGGTGTTGCAGAGGGATATAATCATGATCTATGAATACCATTAGGTTGACAATTTCAATAGAGAATGTTTCTATTTCACAGAACAATAGGACAAGAAGCAAATTAACTGAAGATAAAGACAGAAAAGTTGAGGTAAACTTTCACTCTGTGTGTGTGTGTGTGTGTGTGTTTGTGTGTGTGTGTATTTGCCTAATTGTGGGTTCAGTCATGTTTTTATAGATACAGTCCTGTTTTGGTGGGGGGTGCGAGGGTGCACTACCCTAGGAGAATTTGAGATTTAATGGGTAAAACATGCATCTCACTGCATGCTGGTTACCTTTGCTGGCTGGTGCATATGAGTGGCAAGCCTGGGCCCTGCATTGAGGTGTCTTGCACCTCAAGGGCACATGACAGAAGCACTTCATGTGCTTTGGGGAGCACAGGGACAGCATTTGTGCCTGGCTGTTGGGCAGGGTGAAGATGAGCTTTTCGCAGCCTCTGTTCCCAATGTTTTCATGTTCACAGAGCATTTACATCTAGCGCAATGTGACTTGTAATTTTTCATTGTGATGCTGTTTTCATAGCTGCCTCATAGCTGGGATGACTGACTGACTATATTGCATCCTGATTGCTCTGTGAGAAAACAGTCCATTCATTTTTGTTGTTATGGTTATTACTTCACTTCTTTGCATTGCTTCATTTCATGAAGCACTATGGTATTAAACTTTATGGCCACGCTAGTCTTGGCAACAGAAAAGTAGTACTGGTTGGGAAATGTGTTTTTTCTCATGAAAATTTCTTGATGAACATGGATTTTTGGAGGCTTTTATTTAAAATATGGCAATTTTTCAGTTTTTGACCAACAAAAATGAACAATTCTTTTGGTTTTCAATTTTTTGATGAAAACAGAATTTTTTCCCCAAAAACCTTCCATTTAGTCAAAAAGGCATTTTTTTTAATAGAAATAAACTTCGGTGAACATTTTTCAGTCAGCTTTCTGTAAGAAAGAAAGGCCGGTAGGCTCCATGCTGTGAAACTGAGCCTGGCACAAACACTTGTGAAACACACAAACACAAAAATTCTGCGGCACACGTGTTTGGGCCTGATGACAAAACAGTGTGCCATGGCACACAGGTTGGGAAACAGTGATTTAACTAATGTCATTAGGGAAGGTGGTTGTGTTTGTGAAGAGTTCAGTCACAGAGATCCCCTTGGGACTGTCACCTGATGTGCTGAAATTACCTCTGAGCCCGCTTTCCCTGCCAGCTTGGAACTTTCAGAACCCTGTCTTGTTGAGCCAGACATGCTAGCCTGCTACAACACAGACCCAGGGTCTGGTCCATGTCCCCAAGCTACAGACTTAACTGAAAACAGCTCAGCAAGTTACCTGCCTCCAGCACTCAGACACCCAGTTCCCAATGGGATCCAACCTCCAAAAAAATCTGTTTTACTCTGTATAAAGCTTATACAGGGTAAATTCATAAATTGTTCACTCTCTATATCACTGACAGAGAGAGATGCACAGTTGTTTGCTCCCCCAGGTATTAATCACTTATTGTGGGTTTATTAATAAACAACCCTGATATTATTAAGTATAAAAAGTAGGATTTAAATGGTTTCAAGTAATAACAGACAGAAAAAAGTAAGTCACCAAACAAAATAAAGCAAAAACACGCAAGTCTAATGCATTAAGAAACTGATTACAGGTAATATCTCATCCACAGAGATGTTCCAATAAGCTTCTTTCACAAACTAGGTTTCAGAGGAACAGCCGTGTTAGTCTGTATTCGCAAAAAGAAAAGGAGTACTTGTGGCACCTTAGAGACTAACCAATTTATTTGAGCATGAGCTTTCGTGAGCTACAGCTCACTTCATCAGATGTTTACCGTGGAAACTGCAGCAGACTTTATATACACACAGAGAATATGAAACAATACCTCCTCCCACCCCACTGTCCTGCTGGTAATAGCTTATCTAAAGTGATCAACAGGTGGGCCATTTCCAGCACAAATCCAGGTTTTCTCACCCTCCACCCCCCACACAAATTCACTCTCCTGCTGGTGCTAGCCCATCCAAAGTGACAACTCTTTACATAATCAAGTAGGGCTATTTCCTGCATAGATCAAGGTTCTCTCACATCCCCCCCACCCCCATACACACACAAACTCACTTCTCCTGCTGGTAATAGCTCATCTAAACTGACCACTCTCCAAGTTTAAATCCAAGTTAAACCAGAACATCGGGGGGGGGGGGTAGGAAAAAACAAGAAGAAACAGGCTACCTTGCATAATGACAAACTAGACTCCTTCCTATTGTGGGCCCAATCCTTTCCCCTGGTACAGTCTTTGTTAGATTCAGCAGACATCTCAGGTGGTAAGCAGGGGTTTTCTCATGACTAGCAGCCCCTTTGTCCTGCTCCACCCCCTTTTATAGCTTTGGCACAAGGCGGGAATCTTTTGACTATGCTTGTCCCCACCCCCGCCTCATCAATGGAAAAGTACAAGGATTAAGATGGATTGCAGTATTGTGTGAACTGGTCACATGTCACTGTAAGACCCCTAGTCTCCATTCTTCCTGGGTTGGCCCACATGTACACAGGAAGGTTTGTAGGTAAATAAACCACTTACAACCATTTGTCCTAGTCAATGGGAGCCTTCAACATTCTAAACCACTATTAATGGCCCACACTTTGCATAATTACAATAGGACCTCAGAGTTATAGTTCATATTTCTAGCTTCAGATACAAGAATGATACATGCATACAAATAGGAGGAATATATTTAGTAGGTTATAACTTTGTTATGATACCTTACAAGAGACCTTTTGCATAAAGCATATTCCAGTTACGTCATGTTCACACTCATAAGCTTATTTCCACAAAACATATGGAGTGCAACATCACAGTGTTATGCTGACAGAAAAACTCCTGTTGGCATACGCTACATGAGGGGGTCTGCTCGTATAGCTATGCTGGCTAAGTGTTTATAGAGTAGACATGGCTTTTTAACCACCATTTTTAAGAACCCAGTATCTTAAGCACAAAACTATCCTTCCTTGAGGTCTCACGTGACATTGTACTACAAAATCCCTTTTCCCCTCATTTTATCCCTCCAGTCATTTGTCTCTAAATTTAAAAGTCTGGGCTAGTCATTGGGGAAATTGAATGGTGAAATATCTGGATTTTCCTCCTCTGCTCCCAATGACAACTCAGAAAAATGCTGAGCAAGACTTTTCCACCTCTCAGGTTGTCCTGCTGCTGCTGGCAATATGAAACAGACCATTTTCAGGGCCTTGTTTCATGCCTCATCATTCATGTGACTGCTGACTGCACAGAAAATGTAAATCGCTAACTGCTAAGTATAGATAACATCAACAATTACACATTTTTAATCTCTGAAATTGCTGGGTCAGCATAGGAAAGAAGACAGCAAGTGTGAAAAATCGGGACGGGGGTGGGGGGTAATAGGAACCTATATTCGAAAAAGACCCCAAAATCAGGACTGTCCCTATAAAATCGGAAAAAGAAAAGGAGTACTTGTGGCACCTTAGAGACTAACCAATTTATTTGAGCATGAGCTTTCGTGAGCCACAGCTCACTTCATTGGCTCACGAAAGCTCATGCTCAAATAAATTGGTTAGTCTCTAAGGTGCCACAAGTACTCCTTTTCTTTTTGCGAATACAGACTAACACGGCTGTTCCTCTGAAACCTATAAAATCGGGACATCTGGTCACCCTAGCCACAGCACAGGTAGCAGAGCTGGGGATCAGCTTGTCACTACTAGGAGACAAGGAAGCCCAGGAAGGTTTTGTTAGCTGAAGCAAAAAGTCAGGGTGTTTGTCACAGTGGGGTGGGAGCACTGAGTCTCCACCTTTTATTATGAAGGGAGAAGATCATAGTAGGCCAGTGGGTGCGGGGGGTTTGAAATACCTGCTAGAAGAGTGTAGTGTATAGGAACTGGAAAGTACCCTTTTAGTTTGCAAGACCTTTAGTGGCATTCACTGTCCTCTGTTTCAGAAGTCGCTGGAACCCTGCAGAACAGTTTCCCTGACACTTCCCACCCTATTTTCAGTTGCTTATAACTTTGCCAGACTTCAACCATTCAGGCTGAAATTTTCCATACTCAGTGTTTGCTTCAGGCTGAACTTTGTTGGAAAATTTCAGCCAAAACAGTTCAGCCATTTCTTAGGATGAGTTGAGGGAAAAAGAAGTTGTTTTGTCCATATTAAAAATGGTGGTCTTTTTTAAACTAGCTTTAGCTGTTGGAGCAGTGGTGGGTTTTATGTCCGGGATACTATACCTGTGAGAAAACACCCCAATGTGACCAAGTTTATAAGCTTTGGAAAAATCTTGGTGGGGGTGATGGAAACTGGGACTGGCTGGGCAAGGAGACTGGGAGGGAGTGGATACTGGGAATAGGAGTCACGAGTTAGAGGAGGCTGGGACTGGTTCAGCAGGGAGAATGGAACTGCAGCCCCAGAGGGAGGAAAATCTGGATTGGTCAGGCCAAGAGACTGGGACAAAGAGCCTGGGAAGGTTTGAGAGGGGAGACTGATATTGGATGAGCAGCCCAGGGTGAGAGACTAGGACTGGGAGCTAGTGTGGGAGGAGAGACATGGGATGAGGAGCCAGGAGGGGGGAACTGAAGTGGCTGGGCAAGGAGCCTGGTGACAAAGAGTTGGGAGCATGGATGGCAGGTTTAAGAGGCTACAGGAGGCTAAGCCTCCCCAAACAAGATGGGGTGCACCTCCCTTTGGCCCTGCTCCCGCTTATCCTCTTCCCCGTGGCCCTGCCTGCACGGTGCCTCTTCCCTCCCCTGCTCCACGTCTTCCACTGAGGACCCCCGCCAGCTGCTTGCACCTCTGAGGAGTGAGTGGTGGCTGGGGGGAGGCCTTGGGAGAGGGAGTGGAGAGGTGCAAGTGGAGTGCGTGAGGGAGCCTCTGGGGTGGAGGCCAAGCGAGACTGGGGCCTAGGGTGGAGCAGGGGTGAAGCATGGGTGGGGCCTCAGGGTGAGGAGGCTGAGTGGGGTGGGCCTTGGGGCGGAGCAGGGGGCAGGTCATGGTCTGGGAACTGGTGCTCCCCCTGCCCACTTCTATGGAGCTTCCAGCGCTCACACCCAGCCCTCTCAAAGTCTGGAACACATGACTTATGAGGAGAGGCTGAGGGAGCTGGGATTGTTTAGCCTGCAGAAGAGAAGAATGAGGGGGATTTGATAGCTGCTTTCAACTACCTGAGAGGTGGTTCCAAAGAGGATGGTTCTAGACTATTCTCAGTGGTAGAAGATGACAGGACAAGGAGTAATGGTCTCAAGTTGCAGTGGGGGAGGTTTAGGTTGGATATTAGGAAAAACTTTTTCACTAGGAGGGTGATGAAACACTGGAATGCGTTACCTAGGGAGGTGGTGGAATCCCCTTCCTTAGAAGTTTTTAAGGTCAGGCTTGACAAAGCCCTGGCTGGGATGATTTAGTTGGGGATTGGTCCTGCTTTGAGCAGAGGGTTGGACTAGATGACCTCCTGAGGTCCCTTCCAACCCTGATATTCTATAATTCTATGATTCTATGAAATGCAGGAGTCACACACTGCCCATGGCTGGGGGTGAGAGAATGAGAGTGTGGGGGAAACTGGGACTTGGACAGCGAGCCCAGAGGGGAGACTAGGACTGGCTGGGAAAGGAGACCGGCAAAGGGATGAGAGAGAAAACTGAGGAGTGGAGGCTGGGACTAGGTAGGCAGGAGAATGGGACTGAGGCAAGGATCCTGGAACGGGGAAGAGACATGAGAGGGACTTGTTGGAGGGGACAGGGCAGAAGGGGTCAAATTTGGGTGGGAATAGACAAAAGAACCTATGCCCCTTAGACAGTACTCCCCTCCAGAGCTTGTAATGGAACCCAAGGTCCCTGAGGGCCCCCATTCCTCTGCTGTCTGCAAATATCTGTGAAAAACACTGGCAAAGTGTCCCATTCCCCTCTACTGCAGGTCAACATAGAGGATGACAACCTACAACTGCTTTCGCTTACCCAGTTAGCTGAAGTGGCAGAGGTCTGGGCAGTGGATCTAAAGGTTCAGACCCGGCTGATGAATGATGTGGGTGTTAGTATTAGAGCTGGTCAATTTTTTTTTTTTTTGATGAAACATTTTTTCATTGGGATTTGCTGATTAGTCACAATTGAAATGTTCTGTGGGACCATGTTGATTTTGATGAAATTACACTGGAAATTGAGCAGGCTTCTGACAGAAGAATCCTGCCTGGTTTCCTGCCCGCTCTCCCACCTGACACGGCAGCCTGCCTGGCAAACTGCTGGAGCACCCCGGCTTTCAAGTTCCCAGCTCCTCATCAGGCGGGCTGATGGGGAGCCAAGATCCTGGAAGCCCTGAGAGCCCTAGCTCCCAGGCTCATGGCTTCTTGGCAGCACAGGCCTCCAGGATCCGCAGCTCCAAGACAGTCTGCCAAGTGGACTCTCTCGGAATTGGGGCTCTTGTGGCTTACAAACTGCCCCAGAGCCCAGGCTCCCAGTAGAGCTGGGAGGAGAACAGTAATTCCATTTTCACAGAGAATGTCAAACTTGTTCTGAATTGGAACAAGACCAAGTTTCAAAATCCTCTGAAAATCATTCTCTGCCCATCTCTAGTCACTGTGATACCACACAATGGAGCTTCATTTTTTTCAGTTTGCTTTTTTAAAAGGCTAGGACATTACACACACAAAATATATTACAAGAACCTTATTCAGGTTGCAAAGTCAAGCATTGTGTGTCACTCTGAAGCCTGGAATGTCTGTTGTGTCAGTGTGAAGTGATAGAAACAGCTACAAGCATAGTTGAGAGTTCTTTTTGTTCAGACTATCACCAGGTTCAGTCATCACTGGATTCCACAGTCTGTTACTGTCCAATTTTAAAATTTTCAGCCATTTTCAGCTTTACAAACTGTACCAACTTCTGTTGGTGAGAGAGACAAGTTTTTGAGCTTTTACAGAGTTTGAAAGCTTGTCTCTCTCACCAACAGAAGTTGGTCTGGTGAAATGTGTTACTTCACCCACCTTGTCTCTCTAAAATCCTGGGACCAACATAGCTACAGCTACAAGCCAAAAGCCTAGACCGCTGTGGGATGAGAGGTTACTCAGCCAATCACCATCTTTACGCTGTAGCTAATTTGCATGGAACAATTTAATTGGTTGTATGAGGGAGACTACAAAAATGGCGGATTACGTGGCCCCACTGCCATAGTTCTTCCAAACCACACAACCAGCACACACAATAACCCCAAACACACGCAGTCTCTCACTGCAGCACACACTCCTTATTCACCACCTGCACAAATAAACAGAAATCTCCCAGCACAACTCCCTCTAGACAAATCAACACAATCAGCATACAACATAATGCCAAACACACACAGTCCCTCACCTCAATACACTCCTCTCATTTGCCACCCACACAATCTTCCAGCACAACCAACCACCCCACACAAATCAACACAACCAGTACACACAATAATCGCAAACACACACAGCACCTCACCTCACTATAAACCCCTCATTTGCTACCCATGGAAATCCACACAACTCTCCCTGTCCAACACAAGTCCCCCACAATGACACAACCAGCATACACAATAACTCCAAACACACACAACCCCTCACTTTAGTGCACACCCCCCATTTGCCACCTGCACAAATCAAAACAAATCTCCCAGCACAACCTTCCTAGACCCAAATCAACACAACCACTCACACAACCAGTACACACAATAACCCCAAATATCACTCGGAAGCCTAAATATCTGTTGTGTCAGTGTGAAGCAAGGGAAACAGCTTTCAGCATGGTTGAGAGCTCTTTTTGTTCAGAATATTAGTCATCGCTGGGTTTCACAGTCTGCTACTGTCCCTCTTTTGAGTTCTTAGCCATTTTTGGCTTTTTTACCACATGACTTTACACATTACACCTGTGTGATAGCACAGGCTTTCAGCTACTGGTGGATAGATGGATACTACTATATATATGAGAGGGATCTTATGTTATTGAAATACTATTTTTACCTATTACCTGTTAAAACACTGCTCCCCCAACTCCTACACTACAGTTACAGCCCTGGTATGAATTAATACTTGGCAACACTACAGAAATATTAAACCCATGTCCTAGAATTGCGGGGAAGGAGGGATTACTCCAGGGAAACATCAGAAAATACATGTAGAAAAATGAATGAAAATGATAAAGTTTGTATGCAGTGTAGCTGTAGCTATGTTGGTCCCAGGATTTTAGAGAGACAAGGTGGGTGAAGTAACATATTTTACTGGACCAACTTCTGTTGGTGAGAGAGACAAGCTTTCAAACTCTGTAAAAGCTCAAAAACTTGTCTCTCTCACCAACAGAAGTTGGTCCAGTAAAATATGTTACTTCACCCACCTAGTCTAACTATAAAGTTTAATGCTTTTTCATGTTTGGCTCCCTATTTTTTGTTTATTCCCTATTTTCCCTTTCCTTTCCAGAAGCCTGCTTAGCAAATATGAGGCTTGAAAATATCACTTTAGTTTTTATCAAGTTTTAGCACAAGGTAATTTGTCCAGTTATAAAACTGGGATCCTCACACAGTAAGGATATTCTAATCCTAGATAGTGAGGTGCTAAGATAAGATAATAATATGACCCATCTAAGTACCGGAGACTAGATGTATTGGATTCCCCAAATATTCACTAATCCTATGTGGCATCTATGGGACTATATAGTTCTCTAATTCCTGCTCTAAATATGATGTTTCTATAAAAATTCAACACAATAAGCCTTCTTTTGTTAAAATGAATTTTTCATGTGGTTTATCTTTTGCTCTCCTCCTCTCAGGCCATGTCTTCTATTAAGATTGAGTCTGTTGTGAAGGAGAAGAACAGGATGGGAGAGTGCCCAGTATGGGAAGAAAGAGAAAATGCACTTGTATATGTGGATATTAATTCACAGAAAGTTTGCCGCTGGAACTCAGTCACCAATGAAGTGCACAGTGTGTCTGTGGGTAAGACAGTGCCACGCTGAGTCTTAAAACTTGTTTGCTACTTTGTTTCTGTACCTTTTAGGTTGTTTTTTTTCCCCTGTGTTATAGTTGATCTATCTCTGCCGTTAGTTGTTTGTATGCAGTGGAGTAGTAGCCACGTCGGTCCCAGGTTAGTAGTTTGTCAGTTAGCAATGCAAACTGCCTAGTATGGGACACAGCTAAGAGCGCCAATCTCAGGTCAGGCTGCCATAAAACAGGGCATGTACCCCAAACTAGTGGTATAGTCTCTCATAAGATTTCACCAAGCCAGTAACAAATGTGTGCTTCCAAAATGCTATACTAGTTGTTATGTAGCCACAGACAGACCCCTTCAGGCCCTCTAGCCCCTCATGCACCACCCAGAGAAACCAGAGTTCTGTGATAAATGATTATTAAAATCAAGAATCACATCTATTAGATTCTTCTCATTCCAAGGAACCAGACACACACCCCAGGTCAAAATATACTTCAGCTCTTATCCCCAAACCAAGCTGGTAGCCAATTCTTTAGTAACTAAAAACTAAAAGTTTATTAATATATATAAAAAGGAAGAGCATTATTAAGAGGTTACAGTGAATCATATCCATTGCAGTTAATTTCAGAGTTTGTAGATCAGGATAATAGCAATGATGTTAAATCTGCCAGTTTGCAAAAGTCTCTCTGGTTCATCTCAAATATTGGGGTCCTCAGTCCGTTGTTCAAAGCTCTTTGTTAGAAATCATAATCCAGAGATGTGGAGCAGGAAAGTGGCAAGGGCATGATGTCACTCTCCCATTGATAGCTCCCCCCGCCTCCAACCCAGGTGTATGGAAAGTTGCTGTCTCAAACATGGAGTCAGGGATGACATGTTCTACGTGCCCTTGCTGAGTCATGAGGCATCCATTGTCTACATGCTCTCGGAGGCATCCTCAGGAGGGGCCCACTGGAAGAGCTGATTCTTTTTAATGGCTCATCAACCATGGCTGTCTGGTCTTGATGTAAATCGGGCCTGTGGGTGTTACCTAGGAACACAACATGTTCAAGATACAAACACACAGCAAAGATCCATAACTTCATACACAATGATAATACATATAAACAGAATAACATTGTTCAACAAATCACAAATCTGATGAAGTGAGCTGTGGCTCACGAAAGCTCATGCTCAAATAAATTGGTTAGTCTCTAAGGTGCCACAAGTACTCCTTTTCTTTTTGCGAATACAGACTAACACGGCTGTTCCTCTGAAACCTTTCCAATGATACCTTACAAGGCATACTTTGCATAAGATTTATCACAATTGTGCAGCAGTGAGTGGTGATATCTTAGTGTACATATGGTCATCTTTCTTCCTGTACAGAGCCACAAGTAGTTTATAGCATTTCATGCCATCCTTTTACTTTCCACTGAGACAAGTGAACTGCGCTCCTACAATCATTTAGTATGAGGTGGCCCAAGTCAACAAGACGGAGAATTATAGTTATCAAGGTGGAGGTTCAAAATGCCTGGATCACTGTGTGTAAGTCCAAAGTCAACAAGAAAGGGCACAGTTTTCCCAGCAGTGGTAGATTAAATGGATTTTTTTCTTGGCTCTGGGTGCTTGAGGAGTTTAGAAGTAGTGAGGAGCCTAGAAGAACACTGAGACTACAAGTTATGTTAATGATCTGAATGGAAGGTAATGTTATAGAGGTGGCAAGTTCTTCAAAGTGCCTCACTCCCCCTACTCGCATTATCTCAGTCTTTCCTGGATTCAGCTTCAACAAGTTTTTCTCCATCCCATTACTGATCTCAGCCATGTCCTTAGAGAGCTAAGAAATGGCACTGCACATCTAGTGAGAAGGTGATGTCAAGCAGGATATAGAGCCTATGATATAACATGATCTGACACTCACTGAATTTCTCCCGTTCCCCCCATGTCTCTTGTTTGCAGATGCTCGTGTTGGCTCAGTGGCCCTTCGGAAGTGTGGGGGTTATGTCATTGCCTTGGGAACCAGATTTGCCTTTTTAAACTGGGAAACGGAGTCAGTAACCACTATTGCTGAACTTGAACAGGATAAACCAAACAACAGGTTTAATGATGGGAAAGTGGATCCAAAGGGGAGATTTTTTGCTGGTATGTTTCTGATAGGATTTTCACTCTCAATGAAGTAGGACTATTTCTAATGTGTATTGTACTTTTATTCTCTGGGAACTTGATTCTTCAGCTCAGCTTCACTCAGCAATAGGTGAAGTGTGTGAGAATTGGTACTTCTGTTACTGCAGAAGCATGAAAGCAGAAAGTGGTGTATGGATGCCTCTGATTGTGTGACAGGTCAGGAGGAGGGACTCACAGTCTAAAGTGGAGCTGACCTGGATGTAGCAGGGGCAGACAGGCAGCCTGGCCTGTCTGGTAAGTGGCCTATGTTTTTGTTTTCTGGACATGTTTTTTTAATTGTGCTTAGCCAGGCAAAAATACAAGCCCTTTACTAGACATGTAAAGGGGCCAGTGAAGGATTTATATTGGTTGTTGGGGTAAAATCTTGGGTCCTTTTGAAGTCAATGGGAGTTTTGCCATTGACTTCAATGGAGTCAGGATTTCACTCATTGGTTCCTGCACCCCCTCAGATTTACATTATAGATTCAAATTAAAGGTCTGATTCTACAAATACTTGCTACCAAACACAGCAATTACTACTGGGAGCAGATCCACAGAGTTGTGACAGTAATTTCTATGCTTGGCAGTGGTTCCAGAATCAGGTCCAAATGTGTTATGTCAATTATAGTCTGTCAATTTATTATTCAGTATTTACCAACAATAGTTACTCTAATTTCAGACTGGAGTTTACTGTATTAAGGGCTGATGTGGTCTTAACTTTATTCTTATTTCCTAGTCTTGCAGCAGCCTAAAGTTAGAAAAATGAAAGAGAAATATTATTTTTGTATATATGCTGTTCATATCTGTTTGTGATGAATGGACAATCCCAACTTAAAATTTGGCTCAAATATTGTAAAACAAGCTTTTATCAAATTTAAGACCAATAGAAGGATTTCCACAAATTAACAACAAAACTTAAATATTCCCCCGAGGCATTAAAAACTCAATTACTGCAGCAACTTGAAAGTGACTGTAAAAAACAAACAAACAAAAAAACAACCCACAGCAACAACACCACCAAAACCCCAAGCAAACAGTGAAACTGGCTTCACTTTCATTTTTCAAGTGGAGACATGCAAAAAGTAAACAAGTGAAAAAGCTTAAATGGTGACATGTAAATTAGATTTATAAAAATCTTTCACTTCTGTTATTCTAAGTCTTTATTAATAACCTAGGTAATAATACGTTTACAGTATATGCATTTTAAGTTCAGAGTCCCTTTAGGTAATAAAAGTAATTTGCAACCAGTGAGAAACATGAGTGTGTGCCATTTGCCCTCAAGTTTGCTTTAACTACCTGAGGATTGTGGGTAGAACCTCACCCCTTTGCCATATTATTGTGATCTTCTAAGAACTCTGTCTGAGCTTTAAATCCCATGAGATTAGTGGAAGCTTGTAAATTAGTAAATTGGGATCACTTTCCCAAGAAAGAACTGCTCCTGATCTGATCCTTCTTCCCTGAGTCTGAGAGTACCTCTTCTCTTTCTGTTCCTCGTGATTTTTTTCCCCCTCCCCTTTCCTCCATCTAGCTGCTTTTTCCTAGGTCTTTACCTCATTCACAGGACCTGATTCTACAATCCCTCCATGCATGGAACATCCACTGAGTTCAGTGTGAGCGCCATATACCTCAAGGAGAACATGAGGAGGTCATTATTATAGTTACCAGGGTGCTGTACTTTCCAATCACTGATCCCATTATCCTTTTAGGTACCATGGCTGAGGAGACAGAACCTGGTGTGCGAGCGAGATGCCAAGGTGCCCTCTACACGCTCTTTTCTGACTATTCTGTAGTGAAGCAGTTAGACCAAGTGAACATTTCTAATGGATTGGATTGGTCACTGGATCACAGAACCTTCTTTCATATTGATAGCCTGGCGTATGCTGTCCATGCCTTTGACTATGATGTGCACACCGGAAAAATCGGTACAGATGCTTTTCTTAAATTAGTTTTTAAATCAATGTAGTTTGATTTCCTGGAGCAAGCGCCGGATGTGTAATTGTCAGTGAAGTAGATGACAAATTATAAAATTTTCTGTTCACAAATTGTCAATAGACAAAGAAATTCACAATCTATGACACAAAATTATTTGGTGAACATTTCTTGGAGTCTAGCTTGTTCATGAACAGTTCATTGTGAGAATTCAGAATCTGTTTTGCTTGGACAGCTAGGTCAAGTTAAGAGCTGATGTTAAGAGTTGCCCAAAGGAAGCTGTTTACAGTTCACAATCACAACCAACTGTATCGATCCTACAAACCCCATAAACAATGCTACATATTCTTGAGTACCATCTACTGGCACACTTTCTATTAACTCTCATAAAAGATCATACCATATGTTTCTCTTCCCTATTACAGAAGCATATTTTTAAAATCAGGTTTCCGGAGGAATGCTCACAAGTATAAATTTACAATTCTCCACAAATATTCTGTAACATTAATGTAAAAGCCATGGCTTCGGCAAATATTCCTTGCTTTCTACAGTCTTTGCAGAAAGGAGACTGGAGTGTGAGTACAACTGACACAAATTCATTTAAAAACTTGAACATTCAGTGAAATTTTTTTTGGCCCATCTCATATAGCAGCAATTCAACTGGGACTATTAATGTCATGTCAGTTTTAATTCAAATGACTGAACTGGTTCCCTTTGTACACTAGTCTGTGAAGACTGTATGCATATATAAATGAAGTATTTAGAAGTGCAGTACAACTGCCTAGGTAGATTTCCTCTGACTATTTCTATAAATTTCTGGTGAGAAGATTTTTTCATGACACCTATCTTTCCAAAATATGAAAGCACTGTGAGCCTGAATCTCCTTTCATCCTGGTTTTATACTGGCGAATCTCCATTATGGGTTGCAAACTAGGGTCCTGATCTTACATTATAATCCAAACAGGTGTACTGCTGCACCTGGGAAGAGACCCACTGACTTCAGTGGGACTCCATGTGGGCACAGCAGTCTGCACAGAATACCACACTGGCTTGTAGTTTAGGCATGTAATTATCTGTGTCTAATTTTGACAATCATGTCCTCAGTGTCCAAAGCCCAATTAAATAATGAGTTTATAGCTGGTCAACAAGAAGCCAGTCTCTCCTTGTATTAAAGTGGCTTCTTAGTCTTTGTCCGGGAGAGATTATGTACTACCTACATTTAAATTAAGTAGTTCTGTGGTTTGCATATGAAAAAAAACACACAGGCAGAGATCAGTGGTGAGTACCTAAAGTAAAGTAATTGTGCTTGTGATAGTCATAAACTGGCCTAGGGCTCATATGTTGAGCAATATGGATAGAACAAATTCTTAAACAGCAAAGATCTGTACCCCTCGCTTGGTAAAAGCACAGGCATCTGAATTCAGTATAGCCTCAGACAACAATTCTAGTGGCTGTTTATTTTTATCAGTCTAACTGTGCCCCAACAGCCATCTCTAGGCACATGTACAAATCAAATGTTTGTTGTCTGCCTTCATCACAAAAATGAGCTGATTTGTTTGTAAGAGCATTTAGGAGACTGTGGAAGATGTTAAATGAATTTGTTAAATTAGTATATCGTACCTATTGCACTCAGTGCTGACTTCATAATTCCTTCTACAGCCTGCGGTAAAGTTTTGTACCAATTAGAAAAGGAGGAACAAATGCCTGATGGAATGTGTATTGACGCAGAAGGGAAACTTTGGGTGGCCTGTATTGATGGAGGGAGAGTGATCCGTATAGATCCTGAGACAGGTAAGCCCTCACAAAGGTGAACTGGAATTCTGTATTAAATAACCCAATTTCAGGATGGGAATCACCTGTGTCACATGCATTGCTTGAGGCAGGCTCCCTCTGTTCCATTGGGGTTGGCTTATTTTGTATTAAGTGTTCTGTCTGTGGCCTACTCTGATAACAGATCATTTCACCTGGGGAGTAGGCACAAGAAAATGGCAACAACCATAAACTCATAATGAACTGTCAACATCCATAAATCTAACTCATTATCCTCCTTCAAATCCCTCCTTAAAATTCTCCTTTGCCATGATGCGTACAAAAAAACTTGGCAACAGTTAGACTGCTGATGTGCTGAGTCCATAGCCTATCATGTTGAGCAATAGTGTCTCATTGTTTCCTTGTACTCCCTGCTCTGTTTGTCTCCATCTGTTGTCTCTTGACTTATACTGCATGCAGTTCTGGTCACCTCATCTCAAAAAGATATATTCGAATTAGAAGACGTACAGATAAGGGCAAAAAAATGATTAGGGGTATGGAACAGCTTCCATAGGAGGAGACATTAAAAAGACTGGGACTGATCAGCTTGGAAAATAGTTGCCCAAGGGGATATATGATAGAGGGCTATAAAATCATGACTGGTGTGGAGAAAGTGAATAAGGAAGTGTTATTTACCCCTTCACATAGAACAAGAACAGGAGTCACCCAATGAAATTAATAGGCATCAGGTTTAAAACAAACAAAAAGAAGGACTTCTTCACAGAACGCACATCAACCTGTGGAACTCATTGCCAGGAGATGTTGTGAAGGCCAAAAGTATAACTGGGTTCAATAAGAATTAGATAAATTCATGGAGGTTAAGCCCATCAGTGACTATTAATCCAGATGGTCACGGTTGCAACCCCATGCCTAGGGGCCCCCTAAACTTGACTGTCAGAAGATGGGATGACAAGTCCTGTTCTGTTCATTCCCTCTGAAGCATCTGGGATTGGCCACTGTCAGAAGATAGGATAGTGGGCCAGATGGACAATTGATCTGGACCAGTATGGCCATTCTTAAGTTCTTATATTGATGTAAGCTTTTTGGAGGAGGGATCATCTTTTTGTTCAGTGTTTGTACAGCACAGAGTACAACAGGGTCCTGGTCCATGATTGGGGCTTCTAGATGCTATGATAATACAAATAAGGAATAGTAAGAATGAATAATAACAAGTAAAATGTGGAATCATTCAATGGTAGTCCTTCCAGCCCAAGTTCAGTCGTGTCATGGATACAATGCTGTATTTTGAGTTTGCAAACAATGAATGTTGGGTGTGATTGCAGAAGAAGATGGGGAACTGGATAAAGGCCATGATTTAGCAAAGCTCTCATGTATGTGCTTCAAGTTAAGCATGTACTTAAGTGCCTTGTTGAATTAGAACCAAAGCCACTGGAGTTTGTAAAATTTTTCTTTAAATGAGAAATTTTGGAAACGGAACCTTAATTATCTGTGAGTTGCACAAAGGTTTTGTGATGGCTTCCAAAGATCATGAGAAAATACTGAAATCATGGAACAGGTTGAAACGGTAAAAATGAAGCTTGGCTCCATGAAAGACAAGTTTAGAATTGAGAAGCTGAGGTTGGTGGGATATTCAGAAGAGTTTGGAATGCTTGGTGTTGCTGTACCTAAGGGGGTTGAAGAGATCATCTTCATGAACTGAAGTTTGGGATGAGTGCTTCCTGTCTGTCATGCACAATTACTGTTTGTTACTCTGGAACACTCCACCACTCTCCTGTCTCCTCACAGTCCAAATCTCTCCTAAAAACTCCCAGGAAGGGAATAAAAACAAACCTTAAATAAAAAAGTTGAAGTTACGCTTTTTCCAGGCCTGAACAATCCTGTCTTCCTTCTGCTTATTAGATGGTAAACTGTTGAAGGTACTAGGGACCACAGCCATCTTGGAAATCACTGGACTTTAGGAATCTAAACACCTTTGTGGATCTGGGCCATTGTGCATTGTCAAGAGCTGAGAACGTTGCCAGCGCTTAATAAATAATAGTAGTTGCTATCACTGTTAATTGGATATTGAGGCTTTAACTATGAGTTAAACATCTTGGATCAAGCCCTCAGCGGGTGTAAATTGGCAGAGCTCCTTTGACTTCTGGGAGCTATATTGATTTACACCAGCGGAGAATTCTGAGGCCATATGTGTTTGATTCCTTGCCATTATAACTGTGTTTCTCTATGGGCATCTCTACACAGGGATAAAAACCCAACAGCTGGTCCAGGGCAGCTGACTTGCCTTTGTGGAGCTCGGGCTCTGGAGCTGAAAACCTGCTGTTTCGACATTTGGGCTTGGCTTGGAGCCCAGGCTCTGGAATCTTACAAGGGTGGAGGGTCCCATGGCTCAGGTTCCAGTCTACGCAGCAATTTTTAGCTCTGGAGCCCAAGTCAGCTGACCTGGGGCAGCCACAGCCACGCTGAGAGATTTTTATCCATGTAGACATACCCTTGGTCACTTGGTGATGTAATACAGAATTAAGGGAAACAGAAACTTTGGACCAAAGTCAGAAATGATGCAGATGGTTAGATTTCAGTAAACTGGCATAATCTATGTGTCAACAGGGCAGACTGGTGGGATTGTCGCAGGAAAGGCAACCAGCAGGAGACTGTAAGAAGGTGTGAGGAAAAAGCAAACTCACCTTCTTTATTTTCTGTTTGTTGCTTCTCCTGCTGCAAACCCTACCCTTCCAGCCCCTTGGCAAATAAGTTACACTCACTCACTTGCTCGTGCTGTTTTACTGGTGTGTAACATCCACCTCCCATTTATTCCCCCTCTGAATTTGACCCAAAGTGTCCGGTGTTGGGTACTCCATGGTACAGTCCATTATGTTTGCTTTGTAAACTTGCAATTGATTTAAGAGTTTCTTCAGTGCTGAAACACCTTAATGACATGCTGTTTCAAGACTAGTGCTTCAATCAACACATGGCCTGCCATTTTCTGATCTCACTGCCACACACCCTAGTATTGCCTGCATTTGAAAAAAGAAATGGAGCAGCGTGGAGACAGAGGACAACAGCTTTGCTAAAAGTAAAATTAAGAGATGGTGCTGTTGAATCAATTCAGCACATTTCCCCATAGACTGTCCTTATGGAAACTGCTTCTTTCTGATGGGGAAACACTATATTCATATTGTAAAAGGCTCAGTCTGACAATCACAGTACTGACTGTCCAGTTGGTTAACAGCAAATTACAGAAAGTTTAAAGTAAGTAAATATATTTTTCTCTAGGGAAAAGAATCCAGACTGTGAAGCTGCCTGCTTCAAGGATCACCTCCTGCTGCTTTGGTGGAAAAGATTATTCAGAAATGTACGTGACTTCCGCCTATGATGGGCTAGACAAGGCATCTTTAGCAAAGGAACCTCGAGCAGGGGAGATTTTCAAGGTGATTGAATTTTGTTTCTTTCAGTTAAAAGATTTAAACATTCTAGATTGGTTAGTGCTGGTTCAAATCTAGCACCTCTGCCCCCAGATTTAAACGCAGCTGTGATCCTCATGGTTCTGGACTTTTATGTCCTTTATAGTTGTTTGTTCAACTTTTTGGCCCTTATTTCTTTTTATATGTTGTATTGGTTTAGCAAACATCACTCTTTTTTTCCTATTGTACTGTCATAAATTATGTTAGTTCTCTCATTTTGAATAATGCCAGGGTAGCTACATTTTTACAAGACAACTAAAACTTTTTTATTAAAACCCAATGACAGCAGGGCAAAAACATATTAAGAAATGTTTCTTTAGTCCCTTACAAGTGGGTGACATGTTTCAGCTAATTAATTACATTTCTAGCTATAGCTAGTGAATTCAAAACTAATCTCTCTTTGTTGGTCATTTTGTTTCACCTTCAGGTGTACTGAAAAAATATTTGCTGGGAGAATAGAACACAATTCACAGATTGCAGTAAGAGTCAACACTTAGATCTTGCCAGTGCTTGCAGTGGCATGTAGATTACTTGTAGCTACGTGTCATGGTGAAAGGTAGGCTGCATCCAAATTCACTGAGGTGTGTAGTTACACGCGAAAGGCAGCAGGGAAAGCCTTCTTCTGCTAGGGACAGCCTAAGGGAAAATGGCACCCTGGGCAAACTTGTATTTTGGTGCCCCGGCCCCCGCTACCTCCCAATCCATTCATCCATTGCCCTTGTCCTCCACTGCCTCCCCGGGCTCCCCATCCATCCCCTTTAGCCCCTGCTGCCTCCCTGCCCTACCACAACCTTCCTGTATGATTTGGAGCAAGTCACTTAGCCTCTCTGTGCCTCAGTTCTCCAACTGTAAAACTGAGAGAGTACTTTCCTATCCCACAGGGGTGTTGTGAGAATAAATACAATAAAAAGCACTCAGACCCTATGGTAATGGAGGCCATATAAACCCTAAGACAGATAGTTTGTAGAACAGGAGAATTACTGAGTTGTGTTCTATGATCTGGAATCAACCTTAAGGTTTTGTCTTGCTGCCAATCACTGTGATATCTGTCCACCTTTTGTATAAAATCTATTAGCAATTGTAAACTCCCCACTGAACTTACTGGAGTCACTTGGCTCTTCTCCCTTTTCAGATTATAGTGAGCTCTACTTGGGGGTAGAGTTTTTTTAGGGATGTGGGAAGGTTAATAAATTATAATGTGAGTGTTCTGACTGCATGAGATATGAATGCTTCCAAAGCAATCAATTAGAGATTGACCTTTTTTTCTTTTTCTTTTTAAACAGATAACGGGCTTGGGTGTGAAAGGAATCCCACAATATTCATATGTTGCTTAAATATTAACACTTTATAGCACACAAAATAAATGCATAGCCCATGCAGGAGCTGTTTTGAACAGGAACTGTTCATTGAATTGCAAAACTATCTATCTGAAGATTTTTCTATGCACCTTTTGGAACTTAGAACCAAATTTTCCTTCTCCATGTTTGGCTCTACAGCATGCTACCAGAGTGGAATTTTAGCAGACGCAGATAATGAGGTAACACTAGAAGTGAAAACAGATTTTCAGAATGCGTAGGCTTGTAACATTTCTTATGCTCTTGCATAAGCCTTCTTTATTATTTACTCCAGCATTCCTAGTTTTAAAAAAATTCTTATGGCCAGTTCTGCCCTGACGTACTTATGTAGTTCTGAAGACAGAATTTGATTTATGTTTTCATGTTACAATGATGTAACTGTGATGAGATATGCTCTGATTTACGTTAGTTTTTCAAATATGTTGACTTGAACCTGATGGTGGTTCTGCTTTTGGATTTCCCATAAGAGTGTTTTTGGCAGTCCTACTTCTCCATTTTGAGTTATTTATTTTGCCCCACGGAACCTTTTGTCCTTTCACTGTCTTTATTTCTGTCTTGTCTTTTTAGTTGAGGCCAAATTGTGCGCAGTTGAAAATAAACTGTGATCATGTTACAAAGTGCATTTTGAAAAAGTTCTTTTGAAACAAAAATTATCCTGGGAACACTGTATGAGTCAGCATACACACAGAGTCAGCATACACTCAGGCCTTGAGATACAGGCTTACCCTATTATATTGCCGACTGATGCTCTATATAATCTCTCTGGTAGAGAGAGAGAGAGGGAAGGAGGATGGATGGCCACAGACAGACACACACACACACACTTCATTGCTTTTGTTATACCTTCTTTCCCTCCCTTCACTCCTGTGGCAGACATGGCACCTCTTTTCCTCCACTGCTTAGAGTCTGTTCCTTCTCCCTCATATTCCATGTTCTTTCTTTCTCGTGTGCCATATTCTCTTCCTCTCTCCTTCCCTCTCTCCATTCCACTAATGTCACTCTTTTACAATCCCCATCTCTCTTTAAAAGGATCCTCATCGCATTGTATATCGAGTTCGAAGTTCTTGTCCTTGTCTACAAGGCTCTATATCTCTGCCCAGGTCTCTCACTGCACTACCCCAGCCTCTTCCCTCTCCTAAAATTGACTGCTTTCTCCCTATTTCTCCCACACAAACATCACAGTGCCTTATTCCATGCCACCACCTATGCCTGGAATGCTCTCCCAGAATCTGACCTCATTAAAATCCCTCCTAAAATCTTGCCCCTGCCACAAGGCATAAGGAAAAAGGAGGAGAGAAGAATAATAGTTTGTAGGAAGTCTGCTTCAAGTACCTGAGTCATGGCATAATCTTATTTATTTAATGCTGTCCAACTGGCTCCTAGCCCACCCTTTGTTCTCACCTCACTTAATTGTAGGTTGTGAGATCCTTGAGACAAGAACCTTGTTTAATTAAATGTCACTGTGAGGAACCTATTATGTAACTGGGCACCATACAAAGAATAATAACATACCCTCAGTCTGTCCCTCAGACTGCTACTCATCATAGAAAGGAAGGTGGGAGACTTGGAAACTCAGCACTAGGAGTTTTGGGAGTGGGGGTGGGAACAGAGATGGGTCTCTTCCATATTGGAAATCCATAGCAATACATTCTGGGTCAGATTTTTTTCTCTTCTTCCCCTGGATGAGAGGGACTTCTGGATTCTTCACTCTATCCCCAGTGGTGACCGGCAAGAGCCAGGGATGATTGAGTGAGCAGTGGACTTCTCTTTCTATGCAGGCAAAGGCTCAGCCCTCAGCCTGCCTGCAGTGAGCAGGGCGTGCGTGCAGCAGCAGCATAAGGAAGCAGCATGCCTCTTCTTTCTAGCATGTGCTTCCATTGCTGGGATTGCGAAGGGACGGAATGGGGAACTAGTGCACTTTCAATCAGACATCTGAAGAAAATCAGTCAGCTCACCAGCCTGGCTGCCTGGTGTCCCGGCATGGGCTTGGGCGAATTATAAACACTTGATTGTGCTATTGTATCACTTTTCCATTCCCAAATGTGCATCAAAATGTCATGTATAATCATTCATTATACAGGGCACAGATATTGAAGTCATGTTTAAAGTCTGATGTAAAAATAAAGCGCTCTGTATAGCTATGAAGTTGACTGACTTCTTTTGTCATGAGTTATTTCAAGGACCAAAGCGCCATGGTACAATATCTATACTCCTTCATGAATACAAAGCCATTACTGGATGACACCATTTCTTGTTCTCAGCAGGCCTTACTTGTTGTGAAAGAATGTTGATTGTTTTTTCCAGGCACTGCAATGGTGTAGCATTAGCCGAGGGCTCCCAGGATTCCATAAATTGTGAATTGCACCCCAGGAGTGTCAGGCTGGCGAAATGCACCCAGGAAAATTCTGGCAGCTGGAATACTGTAACACAAATGATAGCAACCCAGGGGATTCTCTTGGCCCTTCCTGACATCAGATGGCTTTTTATATGCTCCATCCAAGAGAAGACCCTATCCCTCTCTCCCCCACTTACACAGCAGTCAACTCTTCTAGATGCAGGATCTAGTCATACTGCAATAGTATGACTAGATCCTGGAAATACAATGTCATTTAAAAAAAAAAAAGACAAATTAAGTAAAGATCAGCTGTGCCTGCGAGTCATAATTTTTCATGGGTACTAATAATTTTGGACCAGATTGTGCCCATCGGACTCTGGCCCACAGTAGGGGGCAATGTAGAGCTATGTGATCTCAGGAGAAGCGCCAGGTGCCATTTGAAGAGGTATCTGGCACACAAGGAAAACTTGCCACTATACCACCCCTTAAGGGCAGCAGCAAGTGCTTGCCTCTACTACTAACTGGTGTGATCGCTGGTACAGGGGATGTTGGGACATAGACCATCATTCTGCCCAAGGATATAGCTGTGTGCACCCTCCCCAGTTTGTGTATCTATGCAAGGACCACTATATTTCAAAATACTTTATATAACTGCAGTTGAGAAATAAAATCTTCAGCACCTTCATAATGTTTGGTCAGCAAGGTGATCGGTGTTCTGTCCAGCAATAATTCCAGTGTTAAGTAATCTGCTGGAATACTAATGAAGCTAAAGTGTTAAATGTCTTGTGGGATAGGCCAATAGGCAATAAAGTGCCTTGAAAATTATGCAAGGATTCTTGTTTACCTAATTTGAAAAGGAATGCTAGGGCAGGGCATTCAGAAGCAAATCAGTGTCCAACATCCTCCATTTAAAACAAAAATTGGTGTGATGTTTAGTAAAATGGTCATGATAGGATTGTCTTAGTTACGCAGAGTATTATGGCCTGGAGTCATGCTCCAACCCTCACTTCCTGTTTTGTAACATAGTGTCTCCTCGGCAACTCTGTTGTGATCCAGTTGAATCAAGCAGTGAGGGTGGGATCCACAAAGGTACTTAGGCTCCCCAGTGATCCAGAAAATCCTGCTGAACCTTGTAGGTGCCTAAACTCACTCAGCACCCATGTTCTCAGTGTAAAAGTTCCTTCAGCACCTATGTTTCTGCTCTGGGAATGCATGTTCCACCTCACTCTAGGGCCAGTGTCCTGTTGCCTTTCTCCTGCCTAAGCCTCAGCGCAATTCATGAATTGGGGAAAGATAGGTGTTTGACCACCTAAGTTGCGTGTGGGACCCGATCTGCAAGGCATACCAGGTCCTATTCAAAATCTGGCCCATTTTGTAAATTTAATCACAGGACCATAGAAGATTTAGGGTTGGAGGAAGAGACCTCAGGAGGTCATCTAGTCCAACCCCCTGCTCAAAGCAGGACCAATTCCCAATTAAATCATCCCAGCCAGGGCTTTGTCAAGCTGGGCCTTAAAAACCTCTAAGGATGGAGATTCCACCACCTCCCTAGGTAACCCATTCCAGTGCTTCACCACCCTCCTAGTGAAATAGTTTTTCCTAATATCCAACCTAGACGTCCTCCACTGCAACTTGAGACCATTGCTCCTTGTTCTGTCATCTGCCACCACTGAGAACAGCTGAGCTCCATCCTCTTTGGAACGCCCCTTCAGGTAGTTGAAGGCTGCTATCAAATCCCCCCTCATTCTTCTCTTCTGCAGACTAAATAACCCCAGTTCCCTCAGCCTCTCCTCATAAGTCATGTGCCCCAACCCCCAAATCATTTTCATTGCCCTCCACTGGACTCTCTCCTATTTGTCCACATTCTTTCTATAATGGGGAGGCCCAAACTGGATGCAACACTCCAGATGTGGCCTCACTAGTGCCAAATAGAGGGGAATAATCACTTCCCTCAATCTGCTGGCAATGCTCCTACTAATGCAGCCCAATATGCTGTTAGTCTTCTTGGCAATGAGGGCACACTGTTGACTCATATCCAGTATCTCATCCACTGTAATCCCCAGGTCCTTTTCTGCAGAACTGCTGCTTAGCCAGTCGGTCTCCAGCCTGTAGCGGTGCATGGGATTCTTCCGTCCTAAGTGCAGGATTCTGCACTTGTCCTTGTTGAACCTCATCAGATTTCTTTTGGCCCAATCCTCCAATTTGTCTAGGTGACTCTGGACCCTATCCCTACTCTCCAGCATATCTACCTCTCCCCTGAGCTTAGTGTCATCTGCGAACTTGCTGAGGGTACAATCCATCCCATCATCCAGATCATTAATGAAGATGTTGAACAAAATCAGCCCCAGGACTGACCCCTGGGGCACTCCGCTTGATACTGGTTGCCAACTAGACATTGAGCCGTTGATCACTACTCATTGAGCCTGACGATCTAGCCAGCTTTCTATCCACCTTATTTTCCATTCATCCAATCTGTACTTTTTTAACTTGCTTGCAAGAATACTGTGGGAGACTGTATCAATCCTTGTGGTTAGCGCACTCACCTGGGGTGTGTGAGACCCAGGTTCATTATCCCCTCTCTGCTTGACACAGAGTTAAGTGCTTTCACCTCTGAGCTATGGGATATTCTGATGTGGGGCTCCCTCAGTCTGTCCTATTGAAGCCCTTCTTCTGTGGATAAACACTTAAATAGTCTTAGGCCAAAAAGAGAGAGAGTGTGTAGGAATGACTGTAGCCTGGTGATTATAGCACCCACCTGGGAAGTAGGATACCAAGGAGACAGCCCCCCTGCTCTAATAACTCTTTCATTAGTTATCCATAGTGGAACAGCTTCAACAGGACAGATTGAGGGAGCCCCACATCAGAATAACCTGTTGAGCAGTGGTTAGAGTACTCCATGGGAGACTCTTGTTCAAATCCTTTACCCCATCCCCCCATGGCAGAGGGGTGGAATTGAACTCAGGTCAGCACTCTGACCGCTAAGCTAAAAGTTATAAGATGGGCACCAGCAATCACTACCACTGGCCATCTTGAGTGAGTGGAGTCACTCATCCTGGAGTGAGACAGGAGCCTAATTCATTCCTATAAGAAACTACTTAAGTGCCTCCAGACTCTAGGAGAGGAGTTCACATTCATGGATAGCTAAGCAAGGATAGCAACCCGGCCATGACCTTGCAGCCTGGATTTAGATGTCTATGTCTGTGAGGGGGTGAGGCTTAGGACACACCCCTTTTGTCAGCATCTCCCCTTGGCTAGTTTAGGCAGCTCCCTGCCTAATGTGCTGGCTTTTGTGGATCACAGTATCAAACTGCATCATATAGGAGCCATGGGACCTAACTTAGGCCTTGTGGATTGCAGTGTTGTTCCTGTGATTTTTTTTTTTTTTAGGTGCCACAACACTCAACATTGTAACACCTAAGTCGTTTTGTGGATCGGGGCTTAAATTCCCAGCTTTCATCCTGTGAGTAAAGTGTAATTTTTGTTGAACTGAGTGGACTCTTGCAAAATGAAGTGAGTTAAGGCATTGTACATAGTAATCAATAATCAGTGAAATACAACATTTCCTGAGCAAGAAAAGTAGATAAGGACTAATTTATTTAAGGGTTTCGTATGCACAGGGGAAATGAGTTGATCTGAAATTACCAAATTATCAAAGCAATGTATATTTATATGACTAAATGACAACATGGATGTTTTCCCAGGAAAAGGAACTTTGACCGCTTCTAGCTGTTACCTATATGAACAAGAAAGAATTGGCTGCTAGTTATTCTATGTACACTGCGATCAGCCCTGGTCTTTGAAGAAAAAGATGTGTATCATTCTGTGATGTATCAGGAAAAGCAGGCAGATATGGATTCTTAGCTAGATATTAAGGTGGAAAGTCTTAGATGCTATTTCCACTAGGCTTTTCAATACTTAAATATGAGGTAATTGTGTCTGTCTAGATGAGGCACACGGTTGGAGATGTGGGGTGTCATTTTCCACTTGCACAATCTTGCTTGATTTGGTTCTTCACCATGGACTCATCTCATGTAGTGGGTGCATAGCTCTCCTGCTCTGAGTTTGGTCCTGGACCTGCAGGAACTGGTGGATACTCTCAGATGTCTAAATCACTCCCTTAATCTACAGAGTTGCCTTTCTTTGAGCTAAGGCAGGGATCGGCAACGTTTGGCCTGCGGCCCGTGAGGGCAAGCCTCCTGGCGGGCCAGGCCGGTTTGTTTACCTGCTGCATTCGCGGGTTCGGCTGATCACAGCTCCCACTGGCCGTGGTTCACCGATCCAGGCCAATGGGAGCTGCAGGAAGCAGCAGTCAGCAGATCCCTCAGTCCACACTGCTTCCCGCAGTCCCCATTGGCCTGGAGCGGCGAACCGTGGCCAGTGGGAACTGAGATTGGCTGAACCTGTGGATGCAGCAGGTAAACTGTAACGATGCTGGTTCTGGCAGGACCCAACTGAGAGTGCCAATTCAGGACAAATTGCTTCAAGCAGGGCAGTTACAGCCCAAGGCTGGGGTTTTTCCACCTCTAAGGCAAACCAAACCAGCCAAACAGAGCAGACTTTGGTCTCACCCCACTGGCTAACCACAAGTCACACAAGCAATTCCCTTAGATACTTCAGTTTCCCAGTATCTCCACCAGTGCCACTCGTTATGGGGATGAATGGTTATGAAAACCAATACCCCAGTAAAGGAAAAAAGCTTCTCCCGATCCCAAAGGACCGAGCCCCAGACCCAGGTCAATATACAAATCAGATCTTACTCACAAATCACGCTGTTGTCAATCCTTTAGA